TAAGAATTACAGTAAATTATAACTATTTTTTCTAAATTGGATGGCATTAGTTGGTGGCGTTTGTTGGTAAACATTAATTTGTACGTCGAAAATGACCACTCCACATCACATGATATTATCGGTGCATATTTAAATTTACTTAAACAATGTTGCAGAATATCCACTGGCTTGTTTACAAATTTGCTACTTAAAATACGTAAAATTTTGTTTAATTTTATAAATTCTATGTTTTTGTTACATAACACTTATTTTTTTCTTAATTTTCTCTCCGTAATCATTGGGAATGTTTTGCAATTGAATTATACATTGCATATATGTTCCTATTGCATGATCTAATCGTAAATTTATGATTTCCAATTTTTTAATCGTAGCCGGTAATGTGTTTGAACCTTTGTAAACATTAAACTTTGAAATAGTTGGTTTTTTTTGAAGTAGTTTTAATGGTTGCAGTATCTTTTTCTTTAAAATTTAGAATTACCTATTAACATGAAAAATAATATGAATATAGTTTTATCCAAATCTGTTTAAGTTCATATTATTATTAAAATAAATAAATAGTATTTATATTTTCTTAATATTTTCGAAGTGTTCAGCATAGAATGATGCTGCTAGAATTCATGTATCCCATTTCATAAAAATTGGTTCTGGTGGTAGAGAAGTATTTTTCAACGTTTTATGATACACTTTTATGCGAAGTAATACTTTTGAAAAGATCTTTTTCATGGATGATATTACTTTGTTGACTAAAAATAAAATCGGACTTCCTCTAAAATTCTGTGCAGCCTGTGTGATATATATCATATTTTCATAAAATAATTATAATTTTTTTTCGGCTTTTACTATATATGGTGCTGCATCTGTTACAAGCAACAAATTTTTTTTTCGTTATCATTTGGAAATAAAATTCTTAAATCTGAATTCACAAATCCGACTATTGTTGCATGGTTAGTTTCTTCCAATTCCTTAAGCATAACAAGTACGGTTTGATTACTTTATTTTCACACAATTTTCCAACGATAAAATTTGCAATATATTGACCTATGGAATTAGTAATTTCATCCACAGATATCCATATATAGTGGTCTGCTATGTCCTCTCTGATATTCTTCATTACTGAATTGTAACAGTCGTTCAAGTAATTTTTACATATGTCTATATATTTAGTTAGGAAATTCTTTTATATATTGTTATTTAAAGTACGCCATGGTATGTTGGTAGCAACCATCGCTTTTATTAAATTCGAATAAAATTCACTTTTTTGGAACTTGTTTGGTCTTAATTTTTTGCTTCGAATCTAGCATCTATTTCATCATTTTTCTTTTGTGAATAGAAATATTTACATATTAAGTTAATTGTGATTCGTGATCGTATTTTACACTTTTATTACACGTTTGACAAAGCAAATTTCTATTCAGGTTCCATAAGTTTATCTATTTTTTATAAAAATATATATTTGCATAAACATCTGCAGTCCATTCATAAGTATAATAAAAAACTATTTTATAATATCTAAATAATATCTAAATAAATTTACTAGCATTTAACAAACAAAATGTTAAAAATGAATAATTCCGAATGAATAATTCTGCCAAACGCGTGAATGTGGTTGTCGAAATAATATGTCTGTGACGATCTATCCGCAAATGGAATAAAATATAGTGCAAACAGAACATACATCTCTGGAAGATGGATAGAAGAGAACAGAGATAGTCAAAATATTTGCTGCCCGGAAGACGAATACTACCTAATATACGGACTAATTAAAAGCCATATCAGAAGTCGATACAGCACAGCATTGCATTTTCTACCTTTAAAAAAATAACAATTTTGACGGAACATCATGACATAAATGTAGGTTAGGAAAATGTTCGTGTGTGTGTGTGTCGAAAGAATGCTAGGAATAACATAAAATAGAAATGTAATTTTAGGAGTATAAGCGATATGAGCGATATATGAGAGAGAGTATATGAGCCCATATTTGAAAGAAGATCACTATTCCCTTGTTAAATGTATGATTCAATAATTAAGTTTGAATACATTTTCAAATTGGATTAAGCAATGAACTGAAGATACTCATACAAAAATACGTGGAAAGAAAGAGGAGCTTAATAGAGCAACTGTTTTCGAAATGAATGGTTTTATGATGTCTTTCTCAGTATGTTACAATAGATCTTAATATTGTTTTTTATTTTTTGTTTCTTGAAGTCAACAGAATGGTTTTCATTCAAGATCTGTTGAAAATCACCGGTATGTTTAAAACGTTTATTCATTATTCATGCAATTATATTTTCTTCTTCTTTCATATGAATATTTCTGTAGAAAATTAGGAAATGTAGTTCAGTTGTTAAAGTTGTCTAGGCAATGCCTTGTCGGTTCGTTGGTAGAGAGCATAAATCAGCGACTTGTGGTCAGTGTGAATGATGAAATTTCAATCTTCTAGCAGATGATGAAAATGTTTGATGGCTGCGAAGATGATAAACAGTTCGTGATATACACGCTGCAGTTGTCTTTTGTTTTGTTCAATTTTCGCGAAAAGAATACTACGATTTTCACTCTTTATTCTTTTTCTAATTTAGAGCATCTCCGATCTCAAATATCGGTTAAGAATAGAAGTGTGACAATTGGCGAGATGCACGATATTGTTGTTGGATTGGAGATTCTGATCTTGAAGTTTTAGAAAGGCTCGATTGATATTTAGGTACATTCAATTGGTGTTCTGTCGTTTTTTAAATATTCATTGAAAATGAACACTATAGAATTGTTTTCATGAACACTATAGAAAAATTGTTACTGTTTTATTGCTACTGTATAGAAAAATTGTTTCTAGATTAGGTATTCGAAAAAAGTTCAGTGGTAGGCGTGGCACTACAGAAAAATTTATGCCAATTCTGAATCATATATTTATATGTGGTGATGGCAGAAAATTATAGTAAGGTGGGTATAGTTTATACAAGTTGTTGTAGGGTTAGAGGTCGTGAACGTAGGAGGTCATGAAACGTACCCATAGAGTAACTATGGAAGGACTTAAGACTCTAAGGGTGAGGCTCTAAACCCGAGCAGATAATCCTCCGTCAGCCAAGGAGACTATTGAGCAGCTGAAGGCGGAATTCAGGGCCATGGATCTGCGCAATAGGGAAATGATGGAGGAAAACATTCGCCTCAAGAGGGTAATTAAGAAGAGGGACAAAATTTTGGAAAATCCCTTGGCTGTAAAAAGCCAAGAAAGGACTCCGGATATAAACCACTCAGACGAGTCGGTAAGGGTACTGGCGAGGACTGTCCGCAGTATACAGCAACAGCTGCAGCAAGTACAGCAGCAGCAGCAGCAACAGTAGCGGCAACAGCAGCAGCGACTGGAGCTGGTGGGCCACATAAAGGCCCTACACTCTGTGCTGAGTCCACTAGACCCCCTGCGCAATAAGTAAGTGTAGGTAAGACACTAACCCCGTAGGACGATTTTGTACAGGTGCTTGGCCGAAAGAGGAGACGAGTCCAGAGGAGAGAAGCGAATGCACTCCCCCTGGCTACATCAAAGGATGAAGTCAACGACCCTCAACCCTTGCGGGGACAGGCGCTCCCTAGGAAAAGAAGGAAGAGGAGAAGTGGCGCACAGCGAAGAAAGAAGGGGATGCAAAGGGAAAGAGAAGTAGCAGCAATTTCCCTATCCTGTACGGAGGAGACGACGTACAGAGACGCACTCGTCCAGGCCACAGAGGGGATCTCAAAGATCTGGGGATCGGCACCACGTCCTGTAGGAGAGGCCTCACGGGTACCTTTATATGGCAGGTACGAGGCAAAGGGGCAAATGAGAAAGCCGACCGGGTGGCAGAGGCTTTAAGGAGTGCCGTCCCAGGAGCGAAGATTATTCGCCACCTGCGCACCCTAAGGTTGGCGGGACTGGATGCGTACGCTAAGGGGACCGTCATCAGGAACGCGCTTCTGGAGGTGCGATCCGGAACAGACCCCAACCTCATTAAGGTTGGAGAGATCAGGATTGGCAGGGGCAGAATAGGCGAGGCCACTGTCTCGGCTCCGGTGCCTGTCATCCGGGCGGCCCTGGAGAGGGGCAGAATAGACGTGGGACTTACAAAAGTGAGGGTGCATGAACTCAGGCAGCGGCCCCTCAGATGCCACCGGTGCCTTGCGCGAGGACATGTCGCGGCAACGTGCCCGGCCACAAAGCCCAGGACAGACCTATGCTACGTTTGTGGAAAACCGGGCCACTTGGCCAAAACATGTACCGACAAGACGGCGTGTCCGGTTTATGCAGATGCCGGCCGGAAACCGACCAACCACCGTGCCGGTTCGTGGGAGTGCCCGGTAGTGCCTTCCAGAAAATGGGTGGACAAGGTGTTCGTGAGGGCACCAAATGTTTGGGTTGTTGTTTGGGAAACAACAACCCAAAAAGACCCGCATAAGGTCGCTAAAAAATTGCAAAGACAGTGAAAGTGACCGAGAAGAGAAGGGTACATGAAGACATGGAGGTGGAACAAGGTGTACTGGGCACCTCAATAGAGGTAGAAGCAGCAGAGAGTCCATAGACAATGTCCTCTGCTGTTCTACAAATAAACATGAACCACGCGCACCGTGCACTGGACTTGCTGGCACAGCGCATGCGAGAGGATAGAGTGGAGCTCGTGGTTATTGCGGAACGATGGTGGGTTCTTCCGGGGGATGAGAGGTGGTTCTCATCCCTAGGAGGGACTTCACTCTCCGCGGTGCTTGTAGGCGAGAGTAGAAGACCCTGTAGCCTGTTGTGTCAGGGTCTTTTTTATGTAGCCGTTAAATGGGGGAACTCGCTGGTAGTTTCAGTCTACTTTCCTCCCAGCGAGAACATTAAAATGTTTAGTAGACTCCTTGATGAGCTTGAAGAGCTCTTAAGAACATTCCCCGCTCTCCCAGCGCTGGTGGCGGGTGATTTTAATGCCCGGTCCAGCAGATGGGATCCGGAAGGCAGGAGTAACCGTAGGGGTGAGTTGCTCTGCGTCTAGGCCAACAGAATGGACCTGGGTCCGCTGAACCGGGTTGGCTGTCCCACGTGCGTTCGACCACAGGGGTCGAGCGATATAGATCTAACGTGGAGCACGTCGGCGGCTGGCGTCCGTCTCTCGGACTGGAGGGTGAATGAGGGTGAGTCCCTGTCGGACCACCTGTATGTTAGATATAGCTACAGGCACGAGGCTGCAGGGGTCCGAAATTCTCGCCCGCAAGATAAAAAGCTCCCTCGCTGGAAGGTTAACTCCCTGGATGAGGACTACTTGGCTGCGGCCTTCATTTCAAGGGAGTGGACGGGTGCAACTATGTGCGGGAGGAGTGCGGCCGGTGCGGATTGTGTGGACAAGATGGTGAAGTGGGCACAGTCTACACTGAAGCAAGCGTGCGACATGGCCATGTCCCGAGTGAGGGGACAAACTCGCGGTAGTAAAAGTACTTACTGGTGGTCGGACGAATTAACGAACCTTAGGACCGTTGCGACGGCCACAGTAAGGAAACTTTCCAGAGCCAAGAAAAAGAAGAATAGTGAGGAAATAGTGCGGTGCCTGGACGCTCGAAGGGACGTAAGGAGGGCACTGATTAGGGCTATTAAAGAAGTCAAGAAGAACTCATGTAGGGACCTGCTAGACTCCATAGAGGAGGATCCATGGGACAGACCCTACAAACTGGTCTTGGGAAAACTAAGGCCTTATGCCCCACCAGTAACTGAAACCATGGAGGATGAGGTACTGAAGAATATTCTCTCTAAGCTATTCCCAGGAGGACCAGGAACTGATGAGCCGCAGGAACCTACACTTTCAGAGGTGACTATCTCTGTGGAGGAGGTCTTGGTTGCCGCCTGGAAAGGAAAAGGAAGAAAGGCTCCTGGACTGGATGGAATACCGGATGTGGTCGTGCGTGCTGCGTCGACACACTGTGGAAAAGGGTTGGCGCAGTGCTTCTCCACATGCTTGAGGACAGGAAGGTTCCCGACAGTGTGGAAGGTAGCGGGGCTCGTCCTGATCAAAAAGAAAAGGGACGCGCCCCCGGACTCACCGGAATCATATAGACCCATATGCGTGATTGGCGAACTGGGGAAACTATTTGAGCGGGTAGTTGTTGGCCGGATCAACAGCTACTTAGAGGAGACTCGGACTCTGTCGCCATCACAGTATGGGTTTAGGACGAGAAGATCCACCGTGGATGCCGTCCTCCATGTTAAAAACTTCGTGAAGGCATCGACGCGGGCCAGGAAGGTGGTTATCCTGGTGAGTTTGGATATCTCGAACGCTTTCAACTCTTTGCCGTGGGCTGTTATCGTCAGGGCGATGGAGCATGAAAATTTTCCACGCTACCTAGTGAACATTATCAAGAGCTACTTGGACAATCGCGCCATAGCATATACGGATAGGTATGGACGCGCTGTGGAAAGACACGTGTATTGTGGGGTTCCACAGGAATTCGTTTTGGGCCCTACGTTGTGGAACATTGCCTATGACAGTGTCCTCCGAACCCTGATGCCAGGTGGTTCCTGTGTTGTCTGCTGTGCGGACGACACGGCCCTCCTGTCATCGGCATGGGACCTGTCTCAGGCTATCATGAACGCCGAGCGGGACTTGTACGTTTTGGTAAGGGAGATCGAGGGATTGGGTCTTAAAGTGGCGCCGCAAAAGACGGAACCCATGGCCTTTCCTGCCTCTGCCTTCTGCAGACGCAGGAATGTCCCACCCCCTAAGATTTGCCTTAGAGGGGTTTGTGTAGAAATTAGAACCAGCGTTAAATACCTGGGCATAGTGATAGACTCAAGGATGTCGCTCAGGCCCCACTTTGAAGCCCTAATTCTTAAAACCGAGGGTATTCTCCGGTCCTTTAGGAGGCTCCTTCTGAACCTTCACGGACCGGGGGAGAGGAGGCGACGCCTCTACGGCGGCGTGATCCACTCGGTGCTCCTATATGGGGCGCCGGCGTGATGGCGCGCCGTCGTGGAGGACATGAGGATCGGGCGGGTTGGTCGGAGCCTCCAAAGAAAGGTGGCGATCCGGGTGTGTTGTGCCTATAGGACGGTCTCCTTCCATGCGGCTATGATGATTGCGATTATATATAGATGATGATTTCTCTCACTCATTTGGTACCCTAGCTGGTGGAGACGTATGCGGCTGTTAGAGACGCGGAGGAACCTGTTCCCCCGCGTGCTAAGGCTGTATTGGGTGCTCTTGCCAGAAGGAGGGCAATAGAAGCATGGAAGGCTGAGGAACTAGGGCTCGTAGGGCCACCAGCGGCAACGGGAGTGCGCGCGAGGGCAGTTATTGCCGAATGGTTGGCTGAGTGGTTTGGGAGGCCGTTCTCTATCGGAACGACATTTCACATCACACAGTTGATGACCGGCCATGGTTGTCTCTTGGCGTATTTAAATGAGATAAAGAAGATTCCCTCTCCACGTTGTTTCCACTGCGGGGGGAGTGAGGATACGGCGGAACACACCCTGATCGACTGCCCGGTGTGGACGGATGCCAGAAATGAGTTGATCGTCGCGATGGGTGGATGGCAGCTAACCCTTCCCGTGATAGTCAGGGTCTCCCTGACTGTCCCGGGAGGATGGGCGGCCTTTCGGACCTTCTCTGGACAGGTCATGCGTGCAAAGGAGGACGCTGAGAGGCGCAGGGAATGGTCGCGAGGAGAAGAAGGATGTGTGAGTGAGCGTGCGGGTGTATACGTGGACGGGAGTGCGAACGATAGGCTACATAGGAGAGTAGCTCCAGTGCGGCCACCTCGGGCAAGGCTCCGAGCAACTCAGGCGGCGCTTGGTTCAAGCGTCGCTTCCCTCTAGACGTGAGTGAGTGTATACGAACGTGAATGGGCCTGGTCAGAGCAAATGGGAAACAGGCCAATATGTATATAGTTAGGGAGTAATTGCGTTTCCAGGAGCTCGTAGGCCCCTGTCGAGTGCGCTGTATTGATCTGAATGTAGATGAATGAATGAATGAGAGCAAGGCGAATACCGGCCTGGCTCACCGAGGAGGGATACTGGGTGAATTTGTAATACGCATATGCGTGATCCCGCCCACCCCCTCTCTCCTTAGCGTATAGCGTTATAATGATCGGGAGGTTTTTTAGTCGGTAAGCGATCCGAACCTGGGAGTATTCTCAGGCGGGTTGAATCCGACATTCTCCTGAGTACCGGGCTCAGGGGGCCTATGAAGGTTTTTCCTCCTGACGAAACAAAAAAAGGGTTAGAGGTCGTTGGTAGAGTAAGGAGGGGTGATAGTCAGCTGAGTTTGGCGACTCGTATATCATGTCCGGTGCCTTGTTGGGGGTTCGTATTCGTGGTTTGTATCGAAGAATGTATTATATCGTACGATCGAAGACGGTATGGTGGTGGAGATATCGTTTTCTATAGATGACGTAGATCACAGGTGTTGTTATGTTTCTGATCGCGTTTTATTTTTCTGTTCTTTATTTGTTTTTTCTCTTTTATTTTTTTTTTATTTTCCTTCTTTTCTTTTCCCAAGTATTTTGGTGATGACAAGGACAAGGATACCACAGAAATTTTGGGGGGCTAGTCCGGAATTGAGATTAAAATCAAGAGTGTGATTGTGGTCGTAATACTTGCTTATGAATAAAGTGTAAAATAAAACGATAAGATCTTATTACGATGAGTACAAGTTATGAGGAAGATATTTCTCGCATTATTGTCGAAAATAACCAGACATAAGAACCGTAGAAAATGAAGTTTCCAAAATTCAAAGATGAATTTAAGTAATGAAAATCGAAGATATTAGGAAGGGAAGATAAAATGAATTAGTGGAATGCTTAAAAGCTGTTTTATTGCTGAAAACAGCTAAAGAAGACAAAAGTGACAACAATGATGAAGACGACGCAGAGGAAGACGTAAGTCAATGAAAGTTTTCATTATCAGAGATATAGAAGAATCAATGCAAACATTTCGAGATGACAAGGCTGCAAATGTTTACAATTGGCTGAAGATGAATTCGACGAAATGCCAATTCTATGTAATTTGATATATTTTCAGAAAGTAATTTATTGTAAAAGATTATTAAAAGATCAGCAAGGTAAGCTTACTTTTTTTAATAGTGTAGATTCGAAACAAATTTGTACGTTAGCTGAATTTAGGACGACTATCTCTATAGATGGATGTACATATCCATGTCGAATACCGTTATGAGGTATGATCTTATTGGAATTGTTTTCTTGACTATAAGGATATACATATTTAAGACGGAAATATTTTAATATCAAAGATTAATATTATTAATCGTGAGAGCGCAACTATGAGAGCGTTTCTAGATACGGTCTCACACCGGACCAATGATGATAGTCGATTTGCACAGAGAAAGTTTCTCTTTCTAAGTTTCTCTTCCTAATAGTCAGAGTTATAGACCTACTGATCACGATAAATAAGGGCGGCGATACTAATAAAGGAAGCTAGGATAGCGTAGTAGGCCGTCAGTAAAATACCGCTCGCCGCGTTCCCGAAAATTAATTGGAGAACGCGAATTTCTTTGGAGGATCCTGTGAATCTCGTGAGATGCAAAACAATATAGTGTGAATTTGTAGTTATCACAATATATTTGTCGTAGTATGATACAATTGTTGATATGTTCTTGTGTAGTGAAGTATGTTGGCTATTTCTGAGCCAGTAATGTAATAAGATTTGGAGGTTTGGATGTTTGTGAATTTAAAGAATGTAGTTTTGACTGCTACAATTTAAGTTGTACTGGATACCTCTGTTTAAGGCATAGCTAGTGATATTGGTAAGACTCCGTTGTCTTACTAGTGAATGCGACTGTGTGTAGATTTCTCTCGAACTATCCATGAAGTTATTAATGAATTTGGAAAGGGAAATGGAAAGGGAGGATTTAAGTAAAAAGTACCTGGAACGGGAAACCGATATTTTTCTTGGTAGTGGCCGTGTCGAGATAGATTGAGAGAAATATTTAATCAATCTCATATGTGGTTATTTATCCTGGTGATTGTGTGGATCCATGAGTATTGCATTGATATTTGAAAGGTAGATACCCGGTTCGACACATTATCGAAAATTAAGTATTTTACTAACTACGTCTAAGTTCGGGCAAATGTGGCGATGTGTTTTTTATTTTATCGTTTTTTTAGCGATTATTCAAAGAATTCCCAAGGACAAATATACCCGAAAAGAAAATCCATTTTTTTTCTTTTAGTTCTCTTGATAGTTGAAGTATTACGAACGAATGCAGAACTTACACGTGTTTTGCTCGTTTAATAAAGTTGTAGTAGAAAAAAAAATATCGCATATGTGGTTTGCTCCTATTTAGTGATACTAATTTTTCGTCTCGCCGTAATTGCGATGTATTAAATATACGTATTTTTAGATTAGGAAGGGAAGTTGTGGTTTCGAGGGTTTACGTATTCAACGATACTAATATTTTATCACAAATCATATTACGATAAATTTTTATTTATTTCTGGTTATAGAGAATTTTTTTATCGATCCACGATTTATGCGACGCGTTTAATTTGAGCCATTGTAAATACACATTGTCTCTTTTCCATCGTAATACCTTCTCCATCAAGTAAACGTCCGAATTTTTTACTTTTGTTAATACCAATTCATAAAATCCTGTTTCGATTTCGGTTTTCCATGAATCTTGAATTATGTTACAGAGTTCGTGCATTTCACGGATTTAATTTTAAATATTTCATTGGTCCAATTGGCTGTGTATCTTTTTATCAACAGTTGCTTGTATTTACTGATACGAATAAAGTCGGCAATCTTAAACTTGCCTGAAACAGTTATTTTTACATGGCTGCAGATAAAAGACAAACGTTTAGCGGAATTTTTCGACGCCACGTCCATAGATTTTATGCCGATCGTTCGATGTTATGGCTAATATAATCGCGTACGAGTTGCTATAATATTTTAAGCCATTTATAATTTTTATTGTAAATAAACGATTTCCACATATTTTCTTTGAGAGTTCTGTTTCAGGGTTCGATGATCGATGCTTTCATAACGCTGCACATGGAGTAATCACATTAAAAAAATTTTTGTTGTAAAATTCTTTTTTATTG